TAAGTCTATTCGGCAAGTAGAGATGAAGAGGAATGACTGTTACCTCTTTACGCAGGTAGAATAAGTAAACTCGGTAACGAGTCTGCTGTTGATGTCTATTTTGTATTCTCGCTAAAGTCGCTTTTCTCGATGCATTGAGATTAAAGGCTCAGTAATAGAAGGCAAAGTAGTTGTCCAACTAAGATACAATGGCCTCTGTGCAACACACTTGCATTTGTAAAGACTAAAAAAGTAGATATTTTACAAGAAACGAAATCAAACAGGACGAGATAGTCTTGACTTTCACAATAAGCACGCATTGAGCAAAGGTAGTTGGATGTACCCCACTCTTGTTTCATAACAAAGCAAGTGAGCTGCGCAACATTTGTCGATGTAATGAGGAAGTTACTTAACGACAGTGGGAAGAAGACCGGCTCAGCAAGAATAAGAAGGCATTTTTGTTTGTCTTGTTTCCCATTAAATGGAATAAGAAGTGGCTTTTGATTGGAGTGGATTCTGTAGTTAAACGATGCAGTTCTGAAGCCCGTGGGGAGAAGCGTTCTGGACGGATGCAAGGAAGAGCTACATGTCATGGAAGTATTTGGTAAGAGTAAACTGGGAGGCGACTTGTTTTATAGCCACCAAAAATCAAAATTTTAAAACAATGAGATCATATGTTCCGGCCCAATAATTCTGGACATTTATTGTGCATAATTTCCCAGCATATTGTTCGATAAACCTCTCAACCTCTGAATGATTTCGCATTTGCACAGGGGGAAATGCTAACACAATAATTCAAGACAACTAACACAGTTATGAAGTACCGGTAGCAATTGGAACGATATTATTAGGTCAGTCGAGCTCGTTTTTAAGCTGACTAATTAGCCTGTCTCCTTAAAATGGTACTAGACAATCAGGACATAAATAGCAATTCGCTTGGAGAGGCGACTTTCTCATATTAAACGGCACAGTACCACCTCGTACTCAAATGATGTTAAACAGGTGGATACTTGGAGCAAAATATTGCATTTTCGTGACAATAATTGCATTAGCACATATGGAAGAAGGAAATAAATGTATGCCCGTTTGCACGAGTTTGTCCAAGCATCCGAAACGATCGCTTGCGAGGATGAGTCCAATTTTTCCTATACATCAGCGACAGGTAGTGCGGGAAGAGGTGGCTAGTCCATAGGCAGGTATGTACACATAGAAGGAAGTGGGGAAGGAAGGCCTGTGTATGCGTTTACTTGCTGCGCCTCAACGTGGACGGTGCCGACCCAACGGTGGCGGAGGGAGTGGAGGTGGTGGCCGAATCGTCGGCGCCGCGGTACTCGGATTTGAGACGGACGAACTCGCGCGCCACCTCGTCCGAGGGACGTTGGGAGAGGATGCGGAGGATAGTCCATCCTGTGTCGTCCAAATACAGTCGACGACCGAGCGCGCACCAACAAGCGCACGCTCCACTCGTGCCCAAACCAAGGGTATCGGTACTGGCAGTGAGATCACGCAACTGTAGTACTGTCAGTCCGATTAGGCGGTCCGTTCGCCCAAAACAGTAGTCCTTCGCGCACAAATGCAATTCGTAGGACTCAGGCTCTGAACCCGCACCCAACAGACTTAACAAAAAGGATAGAAATATGGTATCCTTTAATTGTTGATATTCC